CCCTTTAATCACTGTTATGCTCTTGGCCAATGCTGCCTTTGCTTCGATCAACTTCTCACATTTAAATTCATTTAAAAATGGGTTGAACTTCCTTGTTTCTTCACTGTCATCCTTCCGATTTTGTGATGGTTTTCAGAAACATCATGCTGGATCAGATAAAAGTATTGCAGGTATTTGCCCACTGAGAAAAAATGTGCATATTACTGCACATATATCTAAGATACCAAGGGGGGAAGCAGGAGAATCTTTCCTGGCTATGAGAAAATTTCTCAAATTCAACCTCTGTCAATGATTACATTGACTGGTTTCTCTGTGGGAGTTTATGGATCTCTTAAAATTGCATTAAAGAGATACTGACATGTAATCCATTGTAGCAGCAGGTGTCATTTTTTTTTTTAAGTAAATCACTTTTTTCTCATCAAAGTGAGAAATCCCTAGAAGTATCTAAGAAAAATACCATTCCTTCTTCACTGAAGTTAATGTAAGTAGCTGAGTGGTGCAGAAAGGGCTTCATGCGCTGTAGCTGCTGTGTGTCTCCTCGCCCTGGTACCCCTGCAGGGAATTATCCATGTTGGGATGGAGCTGTAACTTCATACTTCCATTTTTTGGAAGAAGGGCTACTTGAAAACAAAAAAGGTGAAGCTCATTACAGCAGATTACACTATAATAAGACTTGAATCAGTTTGGCTGAAACATAAACAGGTTTATTTGTAAAATGTCACAATGTAAGTTCCAGATCTAGATGGTTTTTAGGGTTTTAAGGCTTACCATTTTAAAATGTTATTCCTTACTCCAGTAGCAGTAGAAGCTGTGTCCTAACATGCTAAATATTGTTAAAAGATATGTCTGAAACAGTCCTTGCCACAGAGGTCTTGCAGTAGAATGTAATTAGGTTTCTCTATTCTTAATGTGCTATATTAATTAGCAGTCAAAATCCAATTTTTAAAGCCCAGCTTTGAAACATATTTGCCCTTCAGGCCACAAATTGTACTGTTACAGTTGAAGCAGCATGTTTCAGTAAGTTGATCATAAAGTAAACAAAATACATACTGGACATATTTATCAAGTAGAATGAAGGAGGAAGACCACTTCCCTTCCCCTTTTAGAGAATGAATGTTTATTTTCAAAGTTGAACGTCCATGCTCTACAGCTTCTGTTTAGTTAATTGAGGCAATAAAATAAACCTTTGGGGGGGGGGGGGGCTGCACTTGCTTGGAGAACAGGGATATGTTTTCTCCTAGCTCTGATGAGTGAGATAAAAGTGACTTTTGGTGGTATCAAAAGGACAGTGCCCAACTGTGCCCTGCCGAGCCAGGGTAGCTGGCTCAGCTGCTGGGATCACTGGTGGTACAGCAGATAAGGAAATCTTGTGCACAGTTATTGTTTATTCTAAGTCAGTTTTTTGTTCTGTGGAAACAGATTGTTCCTCCGGGCAATTTTGGGTTTTGACTGCTGGTCCTTGTCCTCCCTCCTCCCCTCCTCTCCCTTTCTGGAATGAAAAAGGGAAAGCTTGAATGCACATTGAACACTGGTCCTAAATCTGGCTTCACCATGAGCACGGCTTGGAAATTTACATTTTTGTGCTGGTGGAGGGATACATGTGAATCTCAATGATCTTTCAAATTTTTTCTTCAAATAAAAGCCAAGCTGTTGCTTACCATTTATCCCACTGTACAGGGGCACAGGACAGGCAAAGTGCGATACTTTGTACAGGAAGAACCATGCACAGAACTTCCATTTTCATCTAAATGGTATATATTTTTCATCCTCTTCTTTCTGTGTTCTGCAGTTTCACAAATCAATTTTTGCAAAGTATAAATATAAGAAGCTTATATGGCAAAGTAATATTTTTCATTGATATGTAGAAATTAATATTAAAAAGGATATAGCTTTTAACAAATGAAGATGAGGAAGAATAAGGAGATATTCTGGAAGATTGTATTAATATACTGTAAACTCACAGGACCCTTTAAGTAATCTAAATTTTGCGTGTGCAACTTCATAGGAAAAAGAGGAAAGCCTTGAGGTTATCTAAATAGTTTTTAAACTGCTACTTTCTTAACAGTAAAAATAAAGTACTCATAGCCACTTTCCTTAAGGCAGAAATCCACCCTCTATGTATGTGTCCATCTGGAAAAAGGGTGAAATGCTTTAACATTGGGCTGGCTTGGCCTTGGTAAACATCAGGTGGCAGATTTCACTGTACCAGCCTTTTCTGAATGCAGACTATCAGTAATTAGCATGTGTGGTTAATGCCTGTGCTTTGGCCTAAATCACCCTCTCAGTCTTGGGAGGGGGTCTGAGGCTGCTGGTTGGGGCTGTGGGGTTACAGAGCATCATCCTTGGGCAGCCAAGGTGGTGAGAGGTGACGGCTGCACATCCACCCCCAGGGCTGTGGGATGAGCCACCACCATGTCCTCGGGGAAGAGCTTCTCCAGACCTGTGGTCCCAGGCCTGTCACCTGTGTGGCTCTGAGCATTAAGGAGTGAAAACAAAGGTGATGGGTACTATGGACCACGGAGAACATGGTACAGAGGAGTCTTCAGCATGCTGGTGCGTGTTACGGCTGGAGGACAAGTGAAGGGCGGCAGACAAGGCTGGTGGAGTGAACAGTCGGCTCAGACAGGACTGCAGCCACCCAGGGAGTGGAAGTGCCTCTTGGACAATTTAATGTATCGAAATACACAAACTATGTCCGGGAGAAGGGGAGGCATTTGTCAACTTGAGCAAAGTTTCATTATTTATTTCGTGATTTAGTGACAGGCAAAATGCTGTAATCAACGAGAAAAGTTGCAGAATTTTCTAGTCCCAAAGCAAGATTTCAGGTTGGTTGCAGTAGCGTAAATCTTTCTACGTATTTCAGAGTGAGAAATTTACTGTGAGCAAAAACTAAGTCTCATCCAATCTATTGTGAATTAGGTTTAACTTTCAGATCACCAAACAGATTTAGCAAAGAGAGATCTTGTAATATTTCATCATTAAAGATCACATTTATTTTCTGATTTGAGCAAGTTTTATTTTCTGGCATTAGGAGTATCTTGATTTTCCCTTATGAAGCAGGGGATTTTGACTGTGAAGAAGAAACTTAGTTGGTTTGTCCTCAGGAAGGACACGCCTAATGATTAACAGGAGTTAATTCACTGGTAATTTTGGTCTGTAACCTGTCAACAATCCTGCCTCTGCATCTCTGTGAAGCACAGCACTCACAGTACTGATTACCAGGGCAGAGTTTTGAATTACAAATATATTTTTCTTTATGAATTAATTTCCTGAACAGGCTTCTGAGTAATAAATAATGCACTCAAATATGTCAGCATGTTTCTTTACTTTTAATGACTGAACACCAAAAGGCATCATTTTCCCTCTGTTATACCCACAATATGCATTCACTGCAGAGAGCTGGCTCGGTGCTTTCCCTGCCACCCTCTCTGTGAGGACCCTGAGCTTGGGAGAAGCATTCTCCAGGGCTGCGGGCAGGGTACAACCTCTCGCTATAGTGGTGGTTTCTGCCCTGAGTGACGATGCTTGGGTGAAGGATATGTTGGGTACTTGTGTTGGAGTTCTTGCTGTGGGAGCTACCATGCATATCACGGCATAGGTATGACCAAGCATTCAAACTGCTTTACAAATAGGCCAGTTAATTCATTATTAATGTCTCTGTGATAGTCATTGGCATTGTTGGCATTAGTGTTGAAACTAAAAATATTTCAGAGTGCTGTTCAGATTAGAGCAGATAGTATTAGCCCTGACTTTTGGATGAAGAACAGCAAAACGGTAGCATGCTGTAAAGCACCCTTTGCATATACCTTGTATATACCTTGATATACCTTGTATCCAGATACTGCATTACACACTTCAGCTGAAACGGTATTTCCATTAAATGAAGGGTTAGACATGATGTTACAGATTATATAATTTTAATTTCTTGTCATCTGTCTTTTGTTGGAAACGAATAGTACAATTAAAAGCAAATAAATTTTTGCTTATTTTTTTACTGTTTGTAAATCATCTTGGTGTGATTTGTGTCAGTAACATGTAGATGCTTCAGATTTGGATTTTGGGGGCAAGATGGGATGATTTTCATTAGAAAAGTCTGCAAACACACGGCATTAACGTGTGCACAAGTTTTAGTGGTTGCCATAAAAGTACAGGTAAGGTGAACACCTGTTTACAAGAATCCTTCCTCAACAATAAAAAAGATGGTGTAGTGGTTCAGCTGTCTTTGCACAGTGAGAGAAGTAAACAGTGTTGACATGCAGAATTTTTAAGCAGCTGTGACTACATCCATAGTCACTACTGCCTTTTATTTCCTTTCTGAAGGCAGTAGTCACTACTGCCTTTAATTTCCTTTCTGGTTTTATATTTCTTCTACGAGTCCAAAGGCTGTATGTGAGAAATTTATTGTGTGACAGCTGATAATTTAGTGTGTCATCCTGATTTATTGCATATTACCAAATTCTGTTCTGAAATAGGGTTACTTAGCTTATAGTCTTAGTTGCTGTGGTTGTGCATAGTCATTTTGGCATGCAGTGGTCAGAAAGCAGTGCTGAAGACACAGATTTTGTTAATTCACAAGAACAGAATTTATTTTATGCTGTGTGTTAACTTACTGTTCCATGTGCTACAGCTCTGGTAACCTCTGGATTTGAGCTGGGCATCTTCAGGAGTGCAGGCAAAGATAACTCAATCGGAAGCTTTGGAGTCCATGCCTCAGAAAAAATTAAATCCTTGTCTGAATGTATGCCCTGAGAGGCAGGACAAGAGGGTGGTGTCAAATACAGTCCACCCAATAACTGGAAATATGCCAATTTTAAGATGAATCAGATTTGTTACCAAGCCGGTTGATAGCTTTCCTTCGCTGAAGATTGAATTGATTTCTCCACTTTGGTACATACATGACATTGGTATTGTCAGTTTCAGTAAGTTCAGCAAACATAATGTTGAATATATTATAGAAAAATCTTCATATAAATTAAATATAATTCATTTCTGTTTTTCAGGAGAAGATGATGTGGACTGGTCCATCTGTAATAAAGACTTAGAGGTAACACAGATAACCAAGTTGTTCCATAATTGTTTATTTTTATGTTTATTAATAAGCAGAGCAAGATAAACGGGATTGAAAATTCCATTTGTAGCTTCTGTGTGGAATCCTGAGCAGTGTCCTCCCAAAGACAGGCGTATCATGAGCTCTTGTACAGTATGTAGAATTCCATGTGTTGGGGCAGGCACACAAGCAGAGAGGGAAGGAGATGTGGGAATCAGAGCAGCTCCACAGACTCTGTGAAGAGGAAGCAGGCTATTCCTTCCTAGTTTCTTCAAATACTAGGAGTTGTTTTGTGGCAGCTTTCCCATTCCTATAGGCAGCAGGATGGGTTGTCTGTATTTGGCCAGTCTCCCTGTGCTGCCAGAGGCTCGGCTCAGGCATTGGTACAGTTAGGCTGTAACCTGGAGTACTTGTGCTAAGTGTCACAGTGTTACAGCTTTAGCTGTAAGGTCCAACTCCTTTTTTTTCTCTTTCCAAGGTTCAGTAAAACTACATAATGGGATTACATTAACGAATTATTTCTCTTAGGAGAAATGGTATTTCTGTACCTCTCCTGTTCACTTGGCCAGAATTTTGATTCAGTTTTTAAAATCTGTAATGTTTGGTAAGCAGTAAAGGTTGAAGACATAATTTTCAATTCTGTCTGCCAACACAGAAAGTGTGTGTGAGGTCACTGGGAGAGAGACACTTGTTTCCAGCTTCTCTTTTTTTCTTCTTTTTCCTTTTTAAATCTTTCTTTACAATTGCAAATGGCAGATTTGGTCTAGACTTGTATAGCATTGTACTTTGTCCAAGAAGTTTCCCTTTATGTGTGCAAGGGAATGTGTAACTTGCATTTGCAATTAATGTTAGTTATATTTGCATTCTGCGAAAAACTCCAGTTTATCAGGAAACAGCATAGTGGGTAAAAGGGTCTTGGCTAATCAAGGGAAAGAAGAACTTCCTAACTGCAATTTTAAAGAACAAAAGAGAATGTCCCAAAGTGGCAGTTTGAACAAGATAATACTTTTCTTCTAGACAGTGAAGGTTTTCTCTGACAGAATTATCCAGTTCAACCCTGGATGTGTAAATTGTAAAAAGTTGTATTTCTAACTGAAGACTACCAGCAGTGACCTGTATAAATTTCCAGTTCTAACAAACACTAAGCCAAAGAATCTCAAACAATAAATACATTTCTCTCATATTGTCTCACCAGGCACAGATTTCTAACTATGGGAGTGTGAGGCATACCACTGTGCGGTACTACACAGCTGCTAAAAATGTTACCTGCAGAAATTGCAGCAGACCAGGCCATTTGTCCAAGAACTGCCCTACTCCGAAGGTAAATGCAACACTTAAATTACTTGTAGATTCAGCTGTTTTTTCAATACTCTTTTGTGCTTGCCATTAGAAGCATTGCTTCAGTGGTTTATTATTTCATTGAAAGGTTGCTCCAAGTCGAAGGATAGCTTGCACGAGGTCAGCTTACTATATACAATTAGCAGTCTGTTTTGTGGATGTCACTGTCTTTATAAACGAAAAAGATCTGTAAGTATAAATGGAGCAAAAAGAGAGTCAAGTATAATACAAAAACTTTTTTTTTTTTTAATCTGGGGAAACCAGTTTTAAGATGTAAAATGTTTTTCAGATGTATTTTCAACAAGGAGAACATAAGGAATCAAAAAATCACCCTTAGTAAACGAATGAAAGCAGGTACCTCAGTGGTGAACCATGATATGAATAATGTTAAAAATGATAGACAAGGTGAAATTGGAAATAACTTTGAGCAGCTCAGATAGATGCCAAATACTCAGAAAATTTGTCCGGGGCTAGAGGTTTAAAAATCAGTCTCTGTACTATGAAGAAGTGGGGTCACTTGTATGAGAGACTGGATTTACCATTCCCCACAATGGAGTCTGTAAAAGCCTGAGATTGTTTCCCTGAGACTGTTACCCACACCAAGACTTTGAGTGATTACATCCCACCCAGCTGAAATGTAAGCCTTTGGAGTGAAGGTACACTCACTCACGGGAAAAAATGGCTTTAAAGAAATACACGTCTGGCCTCAGAGTAGTTTCCACCATTTACTATTATTCACCCCACGTGCTTATTTGTGTGTCACAAGGCATATAGCCAAATGGTTATGGTGGGCTGACCACGGCTGACAGCTAAGCTCCCACCCAGATGCTCACTTACACATCCCTTGTGGGCTGGTGGAAAGAACTGGAAGGGCAGAAGCAAGAAAAACTCACGGGTCAAGATTAAGACAGTATAGTAAAGTTAAAAAAAACCCAGCAACTTACCGCTCACCGCAGCAGGCTGTTGCCCAGCCAGTCCCTGAGCAACAGCTGCTCTGGAGAACCTCCCTCCCCTAAGTTCTGTTGCTGTATTGTACAGACATCCTTTTGGGTGGTTGGGATCCGCCGTCCAGCTCGGTCTCCACCAGCCTCTTGACCACCCACAGTGCACTGACCTATGGCACAGACCATGTTTACAAACCAGTCCAGTACTTGTGTTACAAACTGTGTGTTACAGAATCATAGAATAGTTAGGGTTGGAAAGGACCTGAAGGTCATAAAGTTCCAGCCCCCCTGCCATGGGCAGGGACACCTCACACTAAAGCATGCCACCCACGGCTCTGTCCAACCTGGCCTTGAACACTGCCAGGGGTGGAGCATTCACAACCTCCCTGGGCAACCCATTCCAGTGCTTCACCACCCTAACAGGAAAGAATTTCCTCCTTATATCCAATCTAAACATCCCCTGTTTAAGTTTTAATCCGTTACCCCTTGGCCTGTCACCACAGTCCCTAATGAAGTGTCCCTCCCCAACATCCCTATATGCCCCCTTCAGATACTGGAAGGCTGCTAGGAGGTCTCCACACAGCCTTCTCTTCTCCAGGCTGAACAGCTCCAACTTTCTCAGCATGTATTCATACAGGAGGTGCTCCAGTCCCCTGATCATCCTCGTGGCCCTCCTCTGGACTTGTTCCAACAGTTCCATGTCCTTTTTATGTTGAGGACACCAGAACTGCACACAATACTCCAAATGAGGTCTCACGAGAGCAGAATAAAGGGGCAGGATCACCTCCTTCGACCTGCTGGTCACACTCCTTTTGGTCATGTTCCTATTATGCAGTTCTGGTTTTCAGCTTTTAAGAAATTTAATGAAAAAGTAAGTGTTCATTCAAAGTGCCCAACAGTCCTGCTCTGAGTGAAATACACTTTCTGGTTCAGTGATAATTTTTTCTATATTCAATGAGCAAGTAACAAGGGCACTGGAAATTTAGCAAGTGCTTCTGAGGCAAGGTCCAAGTCAAGAAAGCATGGGGAGTCTATGGAGTCATGACTTTGAGTTTTACTCTGAGACGGTTTGACTCTTAGATTCATAGACCTCCGTCACTTCAGTTTCTTGATGAAACATAACACCTCTGCAAGTCCTAGTAAGTACTAGACATTTATTTGGCCTGTTTCTTTCTTTATTTCCCCCTTTTTTTTCATTAGTCTTTTGAAACATTCTCATGTAACATACTTTTTTTTTTGTTTCTCCACAGAAAGTTCCTGCTTGTTGCCTGTGTGCAGAAAGAGGTCATCTACAAAATAGTTGCCCAGCACGATTTTGCTTAAACTGCTCTTTGCCTGGCCACTATTTCAAGGAATGTATTGAGAGACCCTATTGGAATAAACACTGCAGTCGCTGTGATATGAAGGGACATTATGCTGATGTGAGTATAATCTGTGGCAAAGAGCTCAGTTGATCTTGGTTTTGTTTCTGTCAAAAATTGAATTTAAAACCACAGCCTTTTCATATACTTTCTTTGATTTTATATAGTGCCTATGAAGATACTGTAGTTAGCCATTACCTAACCATATCACAGTTTTCATGAAGCATGTTTCAAAGATACTAAAACATTGTAAACATCCAGTCTTTTGTTTAGTTTTTTCCAATTCAGTTATTGTGAACAAAAATACCCGCATTTCTGTTGAATGGAAGGTGTAGGGAGGTTGGAACTAAGAGACGTGGAATGCTGCAAGCATGCTGGCAAAAGGTAGAGAGTAATTGTGAATCTCCAACAGTTTCATTTATGTGGGTTTTTTTCCACTATGATCACATATTCATCAATGAAAATATTTTTATAAGTTTAAACTGATGTCTGAACGGGTTTGGGAAGCATCTATAACAATGGTGTGTTTTACATTGCAAACATAATTCATGAACAAAATGGAAATGGTATACTTTATTTCTTACACAAGACGTTAGCAAATGTTATTTGCTGTTAACTTGAAAGCTTATCTACAGCCATATTCATGTGCCTTATCTTAGTCTATGCCTGCTTTTCAGTAAGCCCTCTATTATTAATGAACATGCAAGAAGAAGAATGATAGTGACATTGTCTATTTCTGTATCCCTATGGACAGGCCCCTCACATATATAGTGTAAGAGAATCTGTAAAGTAGTGGAACAGTTGCAAAATTGTTTAGTCTATTATTAAGAGAAAAATGTAGATAGAAACATTTAAAGTTTGGAACCTGCTGATGGTTTGTCTTCATCCCATGGGAGCCACGCTGCTATTTTCCATCTTCACTACCATCCTTCAAACCCCAACTTTTTTTACCTAAACCATCTCAGACAGCTTGGGTGGACACTCTTGTCCTCTTGGCCATCACTCTTAATTCCTCATTCATATTATGTTATGCTGCCTCTATGTCATGAGCACTGGAGATAAAAAAGTGCCTAGTGCAAATAATAATTTCTGTACTGTATGTAACAAAGCAGCAGTTCAGAGGTGTTAGCAAGCTTGCACCTGTAAAAATGATTCTAACAAGTGGGAATATGGAAGCACTCCTTTTGTCTCACCTGAAGATTGGATATTCAGTGTATTTCCCACCAAATGCTTGGCTGCTTGTTTCAGTTTGAGCAGCACAATGGGAGAAGATTTTCTGTTTATTTCACAAGGAGATGGAGGCCCCATAAAACACATTGATTTTGCTGCTGAGTTTTGATTTAACTAAGCATTTGAAGTTGTCTTATATAAATTAATAACTGGCACAAAATTAGGTATGGAAAGATTAAAAATGTTCAAGCACTGTAAGGATACTGAAGTACGTTAAAGCTCATCCAGCTACAGTATATTCTCTGCACTGAAGACTAGGTGGGAGGTAAGGTAGTGGGACTTAATTTGACTGAGACTTATTTTCTCAAAACTTTTATTGTTTAACAGTACCATTATGGGAACACACTCTTCAGGGTGTCATCTTCTTTAATAAAATTTTTCTTCAGTTCTGAATGTGTTTTGAAACAAGTAGAAACTGTTTTGCTCTTGACGGTCAGTCCAAAGCTGTTATTACTGCTAGTGAAAGTTAATAGATATATGAAAGACAGAGAGAGGCTTTATAGCAGGGCTGGTAGAAGCAGCACATGAAGTAACAGTTTTAAACTAAAAGAAGGTAGATTTAGATTAAATATAAAGAAGAAATGTTTTATGATGAAGGTGGTGAGGCACTGGCACAGGTTGCCCAAAGAAGCTGTGGCTGTCCCATCCCTGGGAGTGTTCAAGGCCAGGTTGGAGCATACTTGGAGCAACCTGGTCTAGTGGAAGATGTTCCTGCCTGTGGCAGGAGGTTAGGACTGAATGAGCTTTAAGGTCCCCTTCAATTCAAGAAGTTCTGTGATTTTATGCTACTGCACAGTAGGTTAGGTCAGTTCTGTGCTAATTGCCAATCCATAATCCTGGATGTGAGAAATGTAATGCCATGCAACACCACTGCATGCTCTGTAAGAAATCTAAAGACTTTGAACAGGAGCATTTAAAATTATTATGGACATCATGTAGCCTAAGTAAAAGCTTCTATCAGTATTTCAAATACTTTATGTATATACGTATGTATGTAAACAGACTTTTTTTGTCAGAACTTTAAGAATTTGTAAGCAAGCAACTTTTTTGTTATTTTTTAAATATAGTATACCTCACAGCTAGACACAACTGGATGCATTATTTCATATCAAGTTTTAGTGCAGAATGAACTATTTTGGCAAGAGTGTTCCACCTCTGAAGGAGATTTATATGCTAATGCATTCTTTAATATTCTTATGAAAGTGTTGAATGCTGTACTAATTGCAGGTTTCGTAGAAGAATAAAAGGTAGTAGCAAAACAAAAAAATTTTCAAGATTAGTAACTATATTTAACATTGAAGATCTATGGGATTATAACCAGGCAGAAGTATATTGCCATGATTTTATTGCCTTGTGAGATTAAGTGATACTAGGAAGCTACACTTGGAAAGGTCTGGTATTCATGTGCTTGTGTAGGTGTATGTACAAAGCCCTTCTCAGACAGTCGATATGTAGACACTGTTGAACTGAATTTGAGAAATATAAACTAGATGAAGGTAATGACTTTACAGTTCAATTAGGCAGGAGGTTCAGGTATGACTGTAACATGAAGATTTGTCCTCAGATTTCATAAATACAGGTGGAAGACTTGCTGTCTGCTTTCTTTAATTTCCCTGTGGCTTTCTAAGAGTAGTAGTTAATGTTGTCAGGACTGGAGGAAAGACAGAAGTAGTTGGAAGGCCTTTGAGTTTGATATGGTCTACTAAAATAATACAGAGGTGATAGCTGAAGTGCAATTAAACACATTTTTATCTTTTTTTTTTAACCTTGTATGATATTATTATGGGTTTACATGTCTCAGAAATTCAGTCCTGTAGGTAGCAATTAGCCTTCTATGCTTTTTATTTTCTCAAATTATGCCATGGTAGCATTAGCATACATTCCTATTTTATTTTCTATTTAAAGATGTGACTTAAATGTTTGTCTTTCAAATACATCTGTTTGATTCCTCTAAACACTGGATTTTTTTTTCTTTAATTCAGAAATGTTTAAATCTCTTTCTATATGTCTCCTCCCTACCTTTATTTCTTCTTTTGGTCAAAGATTGAGAGAGATCCTGAAATGGCTTTCTGCTCACTTTCACTGAATACAGAAGTTTATCTGAGTAACTCTTCTGGCTGGTGAAGCTTATGGTCCGTAACCTCTGTCAGTATATTCAATCCCCATATCACGAAATTGTGGAATAATTGAGTTTCAGTGCGAAGTTTGACTCTGTAGCTTAGCAGTCAGACATGAGAGACTTCCCTCCATGTGCTTTCCGAATGCTGTTTCTAGGCAGGGGGAGAGGGGCTGTGCAATGGACTGCTCATGCATCTATCCTGCCTCTGCTGAAGATGTGCTGGTTCAACACCAAACATAGGAGTTAGGCAAAGAAATCTGAGAGCTTGTTACAGGCTCACCATAGACAAGGGTTTGTGGGATATGCAAATAATGCCTACCACATTTGGAGGCTTACTATTTCTTTTGGTATTGGAAGGTTATAAATTTAAATTTGGTATTCCTCTTCTAACTGTACTCTTGTTTATAGGTAGTGTGTACACAGTACCATTACTTTAAAGAACATGAACAGTTTATTTCTGCATCCCATTTCTAGTTAGCAGTTAAACAGAACTGTAATCCTTTTCTTTGCATCTCTTTCTACCTTTTCTATTTTACACACTTCACGAAGCTAGTTCTCATAAAGTACATTTCTTTCCTGTAAAGATTTATGAGTCCTCTGTTGTCCCAAAATTTAATCCTACATAAATTCTGTAGATTATCAGGAACATCGTGGCATGTATTCGTCCTGCTTGTTTAGGTCCACCTTAAATCAGAAAGGTTTTCTTTGAAACTTCCAGGCAATTCTTTTACACTTCTGCATGACAGACATGAAGCTACCTGTGCAGTGAATGGTGAAATGTCTGAGCAGTCCTATTGCCTGTCCCATCCCACAGTCTCAGCTGTCCCATCACTGGAAAGAAAGATGGCACAGTAGAACTGCAGTGGGCAAAGGGAAGGTTATCAGGCTATGCAGCAGGGTCAGAGAGGATATGAAAGGCAGAAGGTATCCTTTGAAAACCTAGTGTCTGTATGCAAATAGAGAAAATAAAAGGGATCAAACTCTGGCAGATTAAATGTGAAAGTGCAGAACTGAGACTGAAAAACAGTTTTGGGGCACTTCCCAGAAGAATCCACACCAACTGTAAATCTTTGTATCAGAACAAGAAGTCTGTAAGGCTCAAGACATGGAAGGAATTCTCTGCCAAGATAAGGCTATTGCTAACAACCTGAAAACTTTTGTCATCTCATGTTCGTAGTAGAAGAAAACAAGAGACATTCACACACCAAAATCTTATTTTGTGGAGGGAATCATCTGAGAATCATTCTGAAGAGAATGTTAGGGTTACTACTAATTTATGATTAGTAGCTCATTACCAGAACTGGGTAATTATTACCCAAATGCTGTAGAGGAACTGGAAGGTGAAATAGGTGGATTGGTGATGGCGGTGGTTAACCTTTTGCTTTGTGCTGGATTGGTAACTGACTGGCAAATACAGTGGCAAATTTAAAGTGGGTCCCAGAGGGAGCTGAGCATCCAGGCCCACCAGCCTGGTGTGTACACCAAGCCAATTTGCAGAAACTCCAGCAGCATGTTGCAATGGGTGTATAAATATGATATACGTGGGAGGATCCAAGATTGCATTTTTAAAGGAAATCCCACCTCTTGGAAATCACTGGAGTTCTTCAAAGGAGAAGGTTGACAAGCATGTGTGTAAACATGATCCAGTTGACATAGTCTACAACTTCTAAAAGGGCTTTGACAAAGTTCCTGACCAAAAGCTTTTAAGGAA